CTTCACAAATTTATTTCAAGTATTGAAATAAATATTAAAATGCATGTTAATTTGGCATAAATTTCAAAAACTTCCAAATTCAAATGGTAGAAGGCCCTTTTCCTACGCCACTTTTTCCCCTAGCGGAAGTTGAGTTTGCTCGTGAGGGTACCCTCGTCGTCTAGTTTTTAATATAATGGTCGAAAAATGATATTAAGTTCATATTTTGTTCCGAACCAAACAGTCAGGGCCGTTGCTGGGTTGTTGGTCGCCCGGGCGCAAAAACAGTATCGCCGACCTTATTAATTTAATATTATTCAATTAAGAATTTGATATGCAGTGTTTACTTTTATATATATAATAAAATATTCATTTTAAATAAAACCATTTTTAAGGATCATTGTTTCATTTTATGAACAAAAAATATTTTGTAATTTTTACGCTTTCATCCCCCGTCGCGATGTGTGAGTAAGACAGGAGCTACTCCAGTGCTACTTCTGTCCTTCGGTCTCGCTTCATCCCTACCATAAGATTGGGCAGCCTATTATACAGGGTGTCCCACCTAACTCTGCCACCCTTAAGTATTCTCTTATTTGTCACGGTACAAAAAAATGGTTCTGGAGAAAGTTAGTGTATTTTAGGGGGGAAATTAGGTTATAAGATTGAAGGTCATCTCAAAATCATATCTTCTGAAATTTCTGTCCTAGTAACGTTTTTTTAAATGGAATACCCTACTTTTTTATTGCCGTTACAAAGAGGAGATCAAAACGCATCCAACAATGTATCACACTATAACCTTGAAATGACCTTTGGCTGAAAATTTTGCACGTAACTGGTTGAGGTGCTAGCTCACAGAAAATGAATTGGAGAAACAAAATAAACGCCATAATCGCATTATTTATTATTTTAGTGTATGTTCAAAGTGTTGTCACACTATAGCGCGATACATTTATAATTTTTATTTCGAATAGTAATGATTGGATAAAAAAAACTGTAAATAGAAAAAATGTGTGTCGTGACGAGCTTTGCAACACTATATTTTTTAAAATCCAGTTAAGATCATTTAATATTTACAGTCTTTTGTAGCTTGTGGACTATACTTTTTCGCATTTTCGAGCGCTCTAGTCCCCTTATTGCATCCGGCTCGTCAATTATACCGTAACAGGGGATATTATATTATGACTGGTTAGAAAATAGTTAAGCATCGAATTGGTGAGTAAATATATTATCATTGCGTATAACCCCGCAGCTCTAGATTATTAGTAGAGACACTTATTTTTAGTATCTGTTTTTACTAATTTTAGGATTTTGATTTTTCATTTTAGCGTTTTGTAGCAGAAAAAATATTTAGAAAAATAATTAGCATCTATTAAGCGTTTATTTTTATTAGACATAAATTTCAAAATAACGCCACGATAATTGCACAAATTAAATTTTCGCGGGTATAGCAGTCACGGGTAGACTTCATTACAGGGTGGTCTGGTCTGTATAAACACCAATAAACACCATACGTTGAAAGAATTGAAATTTTAGAAAGTGTGCGATTGAGACAGACGCTGATGTAAACACACAAGCTGGCTACCCAAGTCAAATTTTGTAAAATATCACACGATGTAATGGTTTTCTCGTCAAAAGCAGACCAGACCACACTGCATACCACTATCACACTATCGTGAAAATGCAATTTTTTGTCAATTTATCACTTCTGGAAGGCGTAAATTGAATTCTACGATTTGACGCGTTCAGATTGAAGAATATGCAACGTATAGTTCAAAGATTCTCCGCTAGCGGCGCTTATGGTATATGTCAGCACTAGAGGTGCGTAAATATGCAAATTTTTATTTTATACGTGACAATGTCGTATATCTGGAATGAAAATATCTATAACGTATTTCTAATCTATAAAACGTTTTTCATATAGCTTATAAAGAAGTGTCAATTTATTAACAATTATAATTCTGATTAAAAACAAATTAAATTCGGTTACATTGATGAAAAATGAATACTGGAAAGTTACTAAAAAAATGGATATAGAAGAATAAATATAATTTTAGATTGAAAATTATGTTAATAAAAAGTTTATTTTTATTTTAGACAAAGATTGATCAGTTACTAACAAATTTCTTTTTTGCATGTAATATTCCTTTTAGTGTAATTGATTCAGAACATTTTAAAGCATTTGTTAATGCACAGAATAATCAATATAAGCCTCTCACAAGTAAGGCCCTGTCAACAACAATTTTGGATGCACAATATGATGAGCTTCTTAATTCTACAATGTAAGATGAACTAAAAGATGGAATATTACTAATTGATGGGTGGAAAAATTCAGTAGTTAATAATAAAACTGTTGTGGCCATGGCCAATGTTACATCTTACAAGTGGCCAAAAACCTATTTTGGACTCTTAGAACTAGTACAGTAAGAGAAACTGGAGAGTTTCTGATTCAAGTTGTAAAACAATTAATGTCATTACTACTGATAGTTTTACATTTATTGATATTAATATTCTTTTCATAAACGTTTTCAGTTTCATCTGTACACACTGTACTGCAACTTACCGTAATTAAATCAAATGTATTGTTATTAATCTTATCATAAGAATTTGTATTTAGTTGATTGAAAATTTTTCATTATTTTTATTGCAGACTCATTTATGTTTTAATCTCTTCGCAGTTGTATTTCCAATATCCAATGAATCCCAAAGATTCATATTGATTATGTTCTTTTCTACCACCCATTTTTTGACAATCGCAAATAATTTACCTGTATAGTAAAACTTAATTTGAGGTTATATTTCGTGTTTAATATTACACCTACAATATCACATGTTTAACATTACATATGAAAAGGAGATATGTATTGTTTTTACTTATTTTTAAAAAGTTTTTTACTTTAATTGTTTAAACGTTGAAATAATTAATAGTTCTATTTACCACATTTGCGACAAATGACATACAAATGGACTTAAAAACGACATATTATTCGTATATATACGACGTGTCATAAACGCATTTACGACATGGTGTAAAATACGTACCCACCTCTGGTCAGCACAGACGAGATATAAGAAAAGACCTAACATTAAATAATTAATTAGTAATTTCACTATACGTCATCACAGTCATCACGGTGTTGAATGTCGAATGTAGTTCCTAAAGTCGGAAACTCTTATGTAGAGTGCGCTCGAGCCAGCGTGATTTTCGTAGAACACCAGATCCCATAAGATGTTACAACAATTATATTACCTACAATTTGCGTGCATGTGGAAAATTATAGTGTATAAATACAAAAATGTATATTTTCGATACACATAATTTTTAGTTGTATGTTCTTTGTCTTTCATTTAAAGTACAGCTGTGCCTTTATAAGATATCCGGGTATACAAAAATTATCCGGGTATATTCATGAGATAGATAGTCGAATATATGATACAGTCGAGAATATCGATTCGGAAATCAATCGCAGCCGCGTGGGCATACTGCTCTACGTAGCACTCCCGTTACACTGCAAGAACATGACTTACTCATTCTTATAATACATATAATAATATAATATGTATTATTAGTATATAGTGCTAAATAACGCAGTATACGGGGCTGCGATCGAATAATTATAATAATATAATGATATATATAATTATATGATCATAATTATTATTTTTATTATTGTAATATCATTGTCAGTTTTTCACAGTTTAAACCGGTCATTGCCGATATCGATCGAAAATGGTCGAAATACGATCGACTCCCGAATCGAGATACGTCGAAATTCTCGACTGTCTTATTCGGATATCTCGCGGGTACCCGGGTATCTTACAGGTACCCGCGTGAAAGTAATAGCCCTAATTCAAAGCAAAAAAAATATTGTGTCGTATTGATCAAACATACTATGTAGTACGTATGAAGTGTGTATTATACTAGATGCTCCATATGTTGTATATTTTTAAAATTTAGGGATTATAAATAAAACAAATTTTCATTGTTATGACTATATACTTTAACATAATAAAGGGATAAGTTTCCGTAAGTCGAGTAATTTCGAAAATCTGTGTTGTACTGTTTATTGTGCAGCAGTCTATTATAGTGGCACAGAATTTCCTTGATTTATTGAAAAAAAAATTATATGAAATGATAAAGCAACGAAAAAGCAGTAAAAGCACTAAATTTGCTCGAATGAGTGAAGAAGAACGAGCACGTTATTTGCAAAATCGTGCTGAATTTGAATTGGAAGCTAAGAAGCGTAAGCAACAACTAATTGCAACTTATATTAAGGTATTAAACCCTCTATTGGACTGTGGTTGTTACGCATTTATAAATATGCATCTGTTTAAAATATAATGAAAGCAAAAAGGTAACTACGATTGTATGTTATCCTCAATTAAACAAAATCTTTAATCGATAACATAAATTTTTCTTTGACTCTAATTTCTGTGCAGTAATATTTAGAAACAGAACTTAGCATAAACAACTGCAGTCTATTCATTACTAACGACGTATTATACTTTTATTATAATATTTTTAAAACTGAATTGTTAAAGAATAAATTAAAACATGAAGAAGTATTTTCAAAAATAAATACTGCAAAACTCAATGAGAAATGGAGACTTGTTTTGCAACAAATACAATGTAAAGAACTTTATGATAATGTAAAACATCTATGTGAATCATTTAATAGCATATTAAATATAAAGGACAAAACAATTTCTCAATTGCAAAGTGAATTAAAAGTAGCAGATCAAGATCACAAAAAATTGCAGGAAGTTCATATTATATTAATCAACAATATAATTGGTATTTTTCAAAACATACTTTGATCTACATGAACATCCCGCTTTCGTGAGAACATTATCAATTCTTTTTATGCCATACAGGAAAATATAAACAGAAACTAGAGGATTTACATAACTTGTGCAAATTGGAAGATATTAAATATATTGATGTGGTTGAATTACATCATTTGAAAAATAACATGAAGGAAAGCTATAAAAAAATGCAATCTATTATACTTAAAAAACAAAAAATGTTTGAGGAAGAAAAATGTACAACAAAAACGAGAAATGCTATTAATACACACAATCTCTTAATTCTGGTAGTATCAATAACTAGAGTATAATAAGTTTTTGGACAAATAGTAACAGACAAATTTGTTGATTATTAGGAAAAAGACATAACATCAAACCTTACACATCAATCTTCAGAAAACATGGAAAATCTTTGGGATCAGTTACATAAAACACTAACTGAATATGAAAGGGTCACTAAAAATAAAAGGAAACAATATGAGTATTTGAAGGAGCAAGATAATATTTATCAACTTTGTATACTACAGTATCCAAAGACACATATACTACTGCAAAATGTTATTGAAAGTTTAAAACATAACATACAAGTGTTAACATTAAAAAGAAAGGAGCAAGTAGCGAACCTTAAAATAACAGATGCAGTTGCAAAAATGAAAATAAAAAATATCAAGCAATACTTTGCTATGACTCAAGCGATAGATTTTTTACAATTAAAAAAATTGACTGTTGCTAGTAATGATGTATTAAAGGTAACAGAATACAGAATTTCCTTTATCATATATAGTATTCTGTACATTACAATATTCTGTTATTTTATTTGCAGAGCTTGCAAAAAAGCATGAAGAAGAGTTCTACAATCCTTGAAATAATTACAGTTTGCTCTAATTTGGAACCACATTTCGTGTACTTCAAAAATTATTTTATGGAAAATGAGGTTACTTTTACATCATTGTTATGTAATATAAAAACATTTGAATAGTATTATAAAATGGAAAAAAATCTGTTGTAGATACGTAATTTACATAGTAAAACTGATCAATTTTGGAAGCAGTATAATTACATTGCAGCGGATAACATTTTACTTAGAAAAGGATGTAACATGCTTAGTTTAGAAAACAAAAGATTAAGTTGCAAGTTACAAACACATGTTGTAGCAATTTGTGGAATACCGGCAATGCATTCGATCGTTTCAACTTCTACTTAAACAACTCTTACATTGAAATTACTTTTTGTAGGTGTAACTAGTAGATCATATTTATGTTAAAAGTAATATTTCACACATGTAAATTTTTATTTTACTTTGTATTACAGCAAATTAACGATGAATGAAAATTCCACCGCCTAATTCTAAGTATTTGTATGGTCTAGCGCGAGTCCGACCTTTCACAGGATGGAAAAATATTTTTTCTTTTGGTACTGTATTCTCTGTTTCCAAATAAATATCGAAACATGCTCTTAACCGTTGTAATTGTGCCGATAAGGTTGGTGGTTTTATCCACATGACATTCACTTCTCTTTCAATCTCCCGCAAAATATCGATAGCCATCGGTACCATAGGATTTATATTTATATTAAATACTGGTGCTATCTTTGGATAATCTGGTTTTATAGCTATTTTTGCAATTAACTCATCTAAAATTGATATCGTACATTAATCGATAGAATGAAAACTAATACAGAAAATTATTTTACAATATCTTACTACTTCCACGTCGAAGAACAGCTTCATAGAATATATCTAATGAAGACACAACTCCTTGTTGTTGGAGAGCAGAGTTAGTAGAACCAGAATACGCGTTCCAAGAAATTGTTGTAAATTTTTGGAGAATTGTATTTAGTTTCTGAGGTAAATTGTCATGGTAAGTAAAAACAGATAGATTTCCACACTCTAATTGTCGAATCTCCATGCATAATTCCAATCTGGCTTTCACACGCCTTTTAATTTCTCTTAAGACACTTTCAACACTGTCTTGAGCTGTTCTGTAATTTGTAATCTAAAAAGCGTTTACAAAATTTTAACAACTGAAATATGTGAAAATAATGAAATATGCGAAGTTATTACATGCTGTTATCAATTTCATACCTTTTGTTCACGAGAGTCCAAAGAAATGAAATGTAGACCAGCCATTCTTTGTGCCCACTTATATGGAATTCCTAATCCAAGTGATGAAAATTGACCCAAATTGTAGCGACTTAATTGATAGTAATTAGCAGGATTTGGACTTTCTAGTCCTAAATCGCCTGGATACAATTCTCGTAGAATTGATTCAGATACAAGCATATCTCTATAAAATAAATTTATAAAAATATTAAAGGAACACTATATATTTAATTGATTAATGCATGGAAAAATTCTATACCCAGTACTGTTTGTCCCAACACTTTCAGTTTTTAATTTTGATTCCACAGTAACTACTTTCAGAAATGTCATATAAAAAAATTGCAACGTCAATTTTATTTCATCTGAAAAAATTAGTATTTTGAAATGTTTTTCTTCATTTACAAATATTAATTTTTCTTAATACTAACTTTTTAGTTTTACAACTATCTTCACATTTAAGGGATGCCTCTGAAGCAGCCTTAATTTCTTTTCTTCTTGCCTAGCTTCCCTAGATACTCTATGATGTCTCTTTTTATGTATAGGAGTTTCTTCTATAATATTTTCAGATAAAGTATCAGGATCTGAATCAGATTCCTGTAATGCATCTTGATTAATTGTACGTTTTGCTTCTTCTTCGTCACCTTCCACTTTTACTACTATAGTATTGTCTGTAAGAAATGGAAACATAAAAAAAAACTACAAAATACAAAGAATATCAATAGAATAGAACATACCATATGCATCTCTATAGGCAGATGCTTTCGCATAAAGAACATACAACGGTGATGCGAGTAATGTTGCTTTTTGATGTTCTTGTCTAATTTTATCTAATGGTAGACCAAGACTTTCTTGCAATGGTTTACTAGACTAAATTATGAAATAATTTGTTAGTTTGATTATTTACAAGGATATTATATTCACAAGTATGAAACTTACTTCTAATATGGAATGAAGTTGTGGTGCAAGATTATCAAGTCGAGATTGTTTAGAATCTATACTCAATGCTACTGTTTTTTTACTCTCTGTTAATTCATCACACAGGGCAGCTAGTTGTTTTCTTTGTGTCAATTCCCATTCCAAACGAGCTAGTCTTAGTTGATGTAGATTATTTTTTGTTATTTCCTGAAAGTATTAACTTGTTATGTCATAAATGTAAAAGTAACATCTTAATTGAACTCAATTGATTCTCAACATACAGGTCTACAAATACTTTCAGGTGCTTCCTTATAAAATTCTTCTTCTGACACAAGATGTATCAATTCATCTTTAGACCTAGATACAATTGAATTAAGTTCATACATACTAAATTTTATGAAGAAGATCATAATAACAACGACTTACTTAAACTGAAGACATTTAATAACCTCTTTCTTCAAATGCATCACTTCATACAATAAATTTTGTAAATGTAAATGTCTATTATCTACACTGCTCTTTGAAGACATCAGAGAATCTCTTGCAAATTTTGTTCTAAATTTTTCCATCCTATTTAATTTTTTAAGTTCAATAAATGCTAAGGATGTTTGAATTTGAAGTTCACGTATTTCATCTTTGGCCTAAATAAGATAAAATTCTATGATTTACTTTAATTCAAATGTGTATACAAAGTACAATTTTATCAACTAATGTACAAACTGTTATGTCTCCACCCATTTTTAGTTTTACTATTTTAGTCATAGCTTTACGTATATTGTCACAAGTGGATAAAAAATTTCCCGAATCATTTTCTGATAACCTTTCTGTAGCTTCTTTTTCTTCATAACTGATTATAGCCTAAACATGAACGAATGTTGTATTTATAACAGAAAGAGCAGTTATTACATTTTCTTATACCTTGTATATATCTCCATCCTTAAGAGACATCCCAGAATACCCACTAACTGATTTTCTTCTTTTTTTTGAATTATCAGAATCAATTTCTCTGCCCATTCTATTTGTACACAACTTAAATAATATACTTATATTTATATATATAGTAACCTGTGGAACATAAAAGTTTTTCTTACACACTTTTTTCTTTGATAAAAAAACTTTTATCTACGATAAGAATTTTGAATGAACAGGAGTAAATTATGATCACTGTTTATATAAACTTCGTTTTACATATTTTGATACACTTATTACATACGTCACGTATAGTTTCCCGGAAGTCAGACGTATGAATACAAATTATCCTATCAAGGTTATGTCGTCCGGAATTTATGAATCTAGAACTTCAAAAATATAAGTTTATCTATTATTGTCCACATTTAACACTATTTTTATTCACAAGTATGTTATTTTTATTGAAAAACATTATTTTTATTAAAAAGTAAAAAATAAAAAACGTAGTTGACCCCGACGTGATTTGAACACGCAACCTTCTGATCTGGAGTCAGACGCGCTACCGTTGCGCCACGGAGTCTCCTTACAAACCGTTTTAGTATATCATCATTTATACTGAATAGTGTATACACCGTTGGTAAAATTAGATCTCGATTACATGTGTAATTAATATATCTGTCTTTCGGTCCGTGTAATTTTGAATACGCGGGTACTTGGGTACTGAAATATATGGGCATACGGGTATGGAAATATACTGGTATGAGCCATATTTCATGTTAAAACGCACGGGGTATTGTGATTATAAAATTATTCAAATTTATAGCATTTGTTGATAGGGAACGCCAGCTGACAAAGTTGTAAAGCAAATTGGCAAAAAGTCTTGCAACATGACCTATGTAAAATTAAGGACAAAATCAAAACAAGGTTTGCGCAAGCCAATTTGCTGCATATGTTGCCGTCAAATTGTTGCCTATGTTGCTGCCCATGTGCGCGCAAGTTGTTTGTAGCAAATCTTGCATCCAACTTGTAGCCATAACCTTGTAACAGGCATTGGAATTTGCAGTTTGGCTGATTGGGTAGTCACCATCATTATGAATAAGATTCAGGCATCTGCTCGGCAAGTTTTGAATAACCCTCTCTCAAAAAAAGCGGGGTTGTTATGCAAAAAAGTGACTAATATAATTTTTGAGGGTGGTATAATTGTCAAACCAGTAGGAGTAGCTGGGATATGCTGGGTTGTGCAGATTGTCCGGAGCAAATAGGATAGGATAG